GTGCATGTATGCAGAGGAGTGTAGGGGGCAGCCAATGGTTCCCATGCCTACCCTTGCCTATGGGATGTGACTCAGGTAGATGCCATGCCAGGCATTTACAAGTTGAGCCTGTTCCCACCTGGGGGGTGGGGGTGATGAAGCCCTGCCCCACCCTCATCCTTGGCCCTACTCCTTGGGACCTAAGCTGGAAGGAAGGAATTTTTGAGAGAGGTTGTCTCCCATGGCCTGGGGCCAGTCCTCTCACTGTCCAGAGAACTCTGCAAGTTGCTGTCTCCAGGAGTGTGGTACTGACTGATGAGCTTGGGATTCTAGTCTTGGCTATTCCATCTGGGCGAGTCATCTCCCTGATTTGGGTCTCAGTTTCCTGATTGGCAAAAGAGAAATATCCTAAAGGGACATAAGGCATTGTTGGCAGAGCAGCAAATGGTATAAGCAAGCAAGGAAGAGAGACAGGTGTTGGAAGCTGGGGTTAGAGAAGGTGCTGAGGATAAGTTGACATTTGAGCTGAGGTCTGAGAAATGAGAGACTCTCTGATGAGGGCCCGGAGGAAGAGAAAGGGTGTTCTAGGCAGAGGAGATACCTGAGCAAAGGCTAGCAGGTGGTATGATGGCTAGAAACCCAGCCTAGGGATGAAGTCACAGGCTGCCCAACTTCTTAGTCAGCCTCTTCCTTCTGAGGCCATATGATGATCTGATTAACATCTGACTCCTCCACTAGTCTATGCAGTAGGGACCCCATCTGTTTCTGTTGCTGCTCTTGCCATTGTGGCCCAAACAGTGTATGGTGCATCAAAGGTGCTCATTAAATATCTCTTAAAATGAATGAAAAGCCTCTCTGAATACAGGATGAACTTTGGGGCAAGAACTTGTTCCAACAATCCTCCTAAGAAATCTAAAACAGTGGTTTGCAAAGTGTGATCCTGGGTGCCTCTCCTGGGAACTTGTTAGAAATGCAAAATCTCCAGCCTCAACCTAGGCTTACCCTGTGGGGTCCAGTAATATGTTTTCACAAGCTCTTCAAGTTGATTCTGCTACACATTAAACTTTAAGAACCAAGGCTCTAAAATTATGTCCACAGGTACCCTAAGAGCCCATGAAGATGGAGAAGCTAGAATCATGGCAAAGCTTGGCCCAGGACCCAGGTATGCCTGACCCTTTCTCTTTCCCCAGCCCAATCTAAGGCACAAAGGCGAGCTCTATCATCCTCCCCATCAGGTTTCTGAGACGTGGAAACGCCAAGGGTCTAGAGTCAGGGGGCGGGGCATTCCTCCCGGGAGTAGAAGGTGGGGCCAAGTGTCTGAGCCCCGCCCCACCCCCGTTGCCCCGGGAAACCCCGGGTTGTAACAATAACCCGCTGACGCGCTTCTGGGAGGGATCCTGCCGAGTCCGTGGGCGGGACGGCCCTGCTGAGGACCAATGAAAGCGCTCGGGCCCCGCCCCCGCGCCTCCTCCCCCAGCGCTGATCAGGGGGCGGGGTCGTGCCCGCCGTTCCTCCCCTGCTCTGTAGGCGGCGCTATTGCTTGCAGGGGCTGCGGGG